AAATGAAGTTGTTGCTTTAAGCAACAAAAATATATCATCATTTTTAAGGCATCATTTACAGAAAAAATACATGTAGTGTAGTGGCAGTGCCTGATTTCCAGTAAGCAGCATGTCTTAAGATGAAGCTTTTATATATTGATGGTTTTTTGTGATTTTTTACATTTGTGTTAATTGGACTAGAAAAAATCTGCTTTAAACAAGTAAATACTTTGGGTCGGTCCTGTCTAAACATTTCATATCATCTCGATAGTGATGTTATCATGGGTTTACCTACCCCATAAAAACCCACCCCATTTAACTTCAAACTCATATAAACCCATTTAAATTTGAACCCCATTTAACACTGTCCATTTAAATTTGTTAAACCCATTTGGACCCATTTAAGTGAGATTCTGCCTTTTATTTCTTTTTTTCTACGTATGATGTGAACCAATTCCAACTAAATCATGAATTTGTGATAGATAAATAACAACAGCACATCAACGTTAGCTAAACCTGAGAAAAAGAACTAATCTTTAGGGGATCATGATAATATATAGACTTAATCGGGCTAACCTATTTATTCCCATAAAATATTTTTATATAAATGGGTCTAAATGGGTTATTTTCTTAACAACATACCCATTTAACTAAATGGGCTATAAAACCCATTATAACATTACTACATCCCAAGTATGTTGATGAGATAGATAGGCAATTGAAAGGAGGCACATTGAAGATGAAACTCAAACTAGTGAGTTACTTACTTGAGAATTCAACCATCCTCAAGAAATTGGCCTTATGCTTAGATGATTACGGTAAAGAAAGAAGAATATGTCATCATAAAAGAACCCATTACCATTCCAAGAATCTCTAGCACATGCCAAGATACAATCAATCAATCTATGAATTATGTTAGATGACAAGGAATCGATTGATTCTCGTGTCTTTTGCTCTTGCATATTTCTCTGTGTTTTCTGTAGATTCTAGACAAATCCTTCATATCCAAACAATTTTACAAATCCTCAATGCATAGGATACTCACACGTGATGTACGTATGATCGCACGCACAGGATCTTTGACTTATTTTTCCTTTATCCAGTAGACACATGCTCATTAGAGAGAGACGTTTTACATGTGGACACTTGTCGGTTATTTGTTCGTCTTGATTAAGCAAATTACTTAATCCTACGGCTATGGCTTAACTTTGTTGTTAATTTGTAATTAATTTAATTACTAAATCAAAGATGAATAAACAAAGGTGTGACCGGCATAAGCGGAAGCAGTGGGTCCAATTGTCGTCAAACTGCCCCGCAAAACCTGTGGCTCAAAGCAAAGGTTTTCTCTATTTATTTATTTATTTTTTTTTTTCCTTCCAAAGACTTTATTAATTTCCAGAACCAATATCATTGTTTACAGCAGCGAAAAGAAAGAAAGGACAAGAACGATACAAAGCCCAATCGTTATTACAGGTGATGGCTTTCTTAGCAAGAATATCAGCGCATGTATTTTGTTCCCGCGGCTTGAACTTAAAAGAGACCAATGTAAAGTGTTGTCGCCATGCCCATATGGTTTCAAGGTAATGGTGTAACCGTGGGGTTGGTCTCATTTCATTAATGGCTCGATTTATGTTCTGGTTATCACCTTCGAATTCAACCATCCTGTATCCCAATCCCCATGCGGCTTGTAATGCCCATATGAGACTAGTGCATTCGGCTTCCTCTGTAGTAATACGTCCTTGAAATTTACCCATTCCACAATCGAGGACAGCTCCTGTTGAGTCTCGTATGATCCAGCCTAGACCCGATGCTCTGTTTCCGTCATGATGGGAGACATCATAATTGCATTTCATGATTCCCGGCGGGGGTTTGCTCCATCCTTCTCGACGTGCTTTGGTGACTTGAGCCGTCCTGGTTGTGAGATCAGATTTTTGAGCATTATCAAGCCACTCTTTTGTATCTGTTGCGGCTTGGTTGACTGTTTCCATCGTTGTAATTGCTTTGCGGTTAAATACGAGGTTGTTCCTGCCTTTCCATAGTCGCCACATAATCCAAAATGGTAGAAACCGTGTGCTACGATTTATGTGGCCATCATTGTTTATCTTGAACAGCTGTCGTAGCTTATCCTCTATTGTTGTATCTGGGTCACAGAGTTGGTTTATGGGCAGTCCCGCAGCTCTCCAAACGCTTACCGCATATGGACAGGTAAAAAAGGTGTGGTCACATGTTTCCAGTACATTACAGCAGTGTGAACAATACGGGTTGACATTTATGTTTCGCCGTCTCAGGTTTTCCGCAGTGCCAATCGCTTTGGAAGCAACTCTCCAGAGGAAGTGTTTCAGTTTGGGTGTAATGCTCAATTTCCAAATGCTTGCAGCGATATCGGGAGAGTGTGCCAATGGAGGCTGTGGTGTTTCATCGTTTATGGCCATATTCGTGGCTGTCCAATAACCGGATTTAACCGAGTAATTACCGTCTTTGGTTGGGCTCCATAAATGTGAATCAGGTTCGTCCTTGAGTGGGAGAAAGATCTTCCGGATAAGGTGATGATCCTCTGGTTGGATTAGGCTTTGTAGTTTGTCCTCATTCCATTGGTGCAATATTGGATAAATAAGGGCCTCCACCTTTAACTCTGGATCGGTTGTTGGGAGAAGATTTGGTGCACGTGAGGGTGTTGTTGGTAACCATGGATCATTCCCGATTGAGGTTGCTTTCCCATTTCCAATTAAAATTTGGATCCGTCTCTGTAAGAGATCCCTACCGAAACGAAGTGAATTCCAACCATATGATGGTTTTGTACCTCTTGTAGCTGAGAAAATGGTGCCATCTCTGAAGTATCGACCTTTGAGTATGCGATAGAGGAGGGACTGTGGTCTCCGTATGGTTCTCTATTTATTTATTTATTTACTTCTTTTGCTACTCATTACGGATTTATAAGTTTTTAATAATCTCTTCACGAGTATAATGATTCTGTTAGTGATCACTGATCATCGGTCATCTTTTTTAATCATCTTGAATTATTACGATGCTGATTCATTTCGATTGTGTTAATGTTCTATATGTTCTTTTCAAGGTTCGTATATCTTTAGCCAAAAAAGAGATAAAGATAATTTTCATTTTTTTTGTTAAATACACTTATAATAAAATTTTAAAATTAGCACTAAAATTTCAATATAAATTTAAAATACCGTAAATCAATGTATGTTAACAAACTTATATTTACTCTTTTAGTTGTTAATAAGATTAAACAATCTCAACCAGAGATACAATCACATTTTATAAAGTTTATTCATTGATTTATCATGACTTCTATTTTTTTTTCGCAGTTATTTTCTTATTTACGATCGAAAAATCCGTAACCTATACTGTATAAACTTACTATATATACTTAAATGGCAAGATCGTAGTCCTTAAATTTTGCTATAAACAGGATGAAAAAGTCATGCGTAGCTTAGCTTTTTGTTGGCCACGTCTTTCTTTTAAAGCATAATGTGTAAAAGATATGATTATGAAAGCCCGCATTATATTGTGTACGATCAATATACACTAATTAATTGATAACGAATGAAAAATTGCATGGAGTCTTCTTAATTAGCCTCTTACATAGTTACATGCCATAATTTATGTGCGTAGGTCATTTGGGTTTTGGTATGTTTTCTAATCTAAATATCTGATAACAATTGATATAATACAATTCATCGTCATCCAAAGTTTTTTTTTTTTTTTTTTCTTTAAATGAAATTTTTATTCCTCCCGAATGGACTTTGGGCTTTTGGCCTAGACAGAAACAACGGTTACAAAAGCGGATCAGGCCCAAATAGGAAAAAATGCAGAAAAAGAACTCTGACAAACGGACGGTACATCAGAAACAACAGATCTAGCCTACCACACCCAATGCTAACAAGATCTACTCCTTTGCTGTGAAGAAGACGACCTGAAGCTCTTGACTGGAGTTAGCAGTTCTCGTCGCCAACTGAGGCATCAACTCACCGATCCCGGAGCTTATCTCCCGGAATAAGCAAAGGAAAGAATAATTTTTGTTTTTATAGAAACAAAAAAAAGATGGGAGTAATGAACATCAAAAAAAAAAAAAAAGAAGAAAAGAGTGGGAGACAAGAGGGTGAAAAATGGTATAGCAACGGGACGGTGACGTATGATGTGAAAGAAAGGAAGAGAGGAGAGCGGGTGATGATGGAATTAGGTGACAGGCATGTCAACAGTGAAGCTGCAAAGCCTGATTTGTTTGTTTCCCTTCTCTTTAAGCGTGCTTCCAACGTGTCTCTTTGATCATCACCTTCTTCTTCAAACTACACTACTTCACTTATTCTTTTTTATTACTGTATTATTCATTGCTCTCATTTTCACATTGATTGTGTTTAGGGGTGTCAAAATGGGTCAAATTTAATGATTCAACTCAACTCAATCCAATCCATAAACTCTAATGAGTTGAAATTTTTGACTCAAATGAGTTGATGAATCAAATGAGTTATTGAGTCAAATGGTTTGATGAATCAAATGAGTTGAGTTGTAATGGGTCAATAGTTTTAATGGTTTACCCATTTAACCCACCAATTTTTGCTAAATTGAATTAAACCGACACAAATTTCTAAACCGATCAGATAAATCAATTTGAACCGAAACCTCTAAACCGATAGAAGGCTTAATCGAGTTTCTAGCGTTCTTAGACAGAAACTTCATAATCGAGTCCAGATTTTTGGAGCGACGAATTCGATTTCAAAGGCGTTACTCCGTTCAAGAGAGAGAGAGAAATCGCATAAGCCATTTTTCTCTCACCGGCGATTCTCTCTCTGATCGGACCGATGAAGAAGAAACCAAAACGTGTACTCACGTGGTCTCACGTGCCTTTTTCAATTAAACACGTTGTTTGCTAAAATGGTCCCTGAATAAAAACTTGTTTTGCTACTCTACCCCGTAAAACAGAGTTAAATGAGTTATTACTTCATAAAATTTAACTAATTAAATGGTTTTTTAATTAATTAAATAATTTTTATTTTCATGGGTCAACCTATTTAACCATTCAATCCATCAAGTTAAATGAGTTCATGAGTTGACCCAACTCATTTTAAATGAGTTGGGTCAACTCATGAACTCATTTAACTCTAAACTCATTGGGTAATGAGTTGAGTTGAATCAACCATTTTGACACCCCTAATTGTGTTTTTAGAATTTTGTTCCTCGTGCAACCGCCTCACTAGTTTAACTAAATAATTATACTTTTGGTTTTTGTTAGTGAGTCTACATAAACTATTGTATCTATTATTGTGCATTTCATAACTATCACATTGTCTTGACATGATGAACTACAAAGCTTTAGGTTACGAAAATGATTTGGATGAACATTCTACTAAGATTATCTAGTTGGACTCTTTTTCTGATTAGAACTCATCTTATTGGATGGATTCATATAGTCGCAAATAAATACATACAAAGACAGTGTACCGCCTAAAAATTGAACTTGTTTTTCTTTTAGTGCATATTTGTAATAGCTTTTTTAGTTTTATTATTTAAATACTTTAATAATTATACCATATTACCATTCAATCATCGATCATTATAATCAATTTTATTTACAAAAGATTTATCCTTTAATTTATCATATCTAACCACATTGTCTTCTATTTAACTGTAATTTTTTTTTAAAAACCTTCTAAAATTGATCACCCCTCAATGCATAAGTCGACTAAGATTTTATTAAAAATATAGGGAAGATAATATAAATGAAAAATATGTTGGTCGTATTTGATTATTCATAATACGAAGAGAATATATAAATTTCAAAAAAAATAAAAATAAAAAGAGAATATTTAAGCAGCCGGCAAAACCAAGTTCAATTGCTGCTTTCTTGTCTCTGGTTTCCTCACACCCCTTTTCTAATTTCTCAGCTCATTACTTAATTATAAATCCCTTAATTTCTTAATTACTCTTTCACTCATTAACTTTTTCGTAATTTTTCATTTCTTACAACTTGTTAAATGCTCTGTCTTACTTTTTTTTTCCTTGGCAATTTTCATTGGAGATATGCATATTTTTAGACAGACAAAATTTAAACCGATACGTGGTCCCATAACTATTGAAACTCTGATTATAATGGAAAAAGTATTAAATTTAATAGGTATTTTAGACCACTCAGCCTCTTAAATATTGGATGGTCCCATTTCTATTTAAATCATTTTAACAACAAAATATCAAAAATCATATACAAATTTTAATAATTAATTCTAATTATTCACAAAAACATATAATATAATTGTAATAAAAAATAATAATAAACACACGCATGTTATTTTTGGACCTACAATATAAAATAAAAAGAAAAGCAGAGACAAAAACAGTCATTTCAATTTATAAATCAAATAAAAAAAAATTAAATTAAATTAATAATATTTTCCATGTTTTTTTAAGCTTCCTTACAAACCAGAAACCTGAAACCATGTTACCTATAACAACGACATGTATTTATTATTATTTCTCCATTAGGATCTAACGACTCAGAATCACTCTCACTTACTCATTCTCAACCGTCAGATCTTACTACAGTAGTCCACACCACATACGAACAAAACCTAATCTTTCCTTAATGCCCATACTTTTCTAGTTTATTACAAAAATTGCCACTCCTTCCATGTTTTTTGTTTCTCTCTTCTTCTTGAATGTTGCGCTTTTGTTAGCTTTCTCTGTTTCATTTTCCATGGACGGACCTTGACCTCTCTGGCTTCTCTTCGTGCATTTTCCTCTCTCACTACTCTCTCTCTCTCTTTTTCTCTTATTTGTTTGATCCTCTACGTATACTCTGTTCTTCTTCTCTCTTCAGGTACTAGTTTCAGTTTCTCTAAAAGAAACTTCAATTTTCGAAATGGGTTTTTCTCTTTCGTTCTCATAGCTTATGTGGATTCATTATCACTTGGGTTTAGTTTACTTTTCTCGTAAGTAAGTGTTTTAGTTGTGATTTTGAATTTTAGGGAAATGCAGAAGAAATTGTTGTTTTCTCTAGTTGTTGTTTAATGGAAAGTGATTAATTTTGGTGAAGATGAGTTCTGTGAACGATAGAGTTGAATTTGGACTATGAAACCTAAGTTAAAGTTTCTAACTTTATTTTTCTTGTCAAGCACAATTAACCCAATTCTCATCTGAAACCCTAATTTTTTTCTGGGTTCTTCTTGCGATTGAGAATTTTGTTCATGCATATATATAAAGTAAAGATTTTTATGTAATTAGATTGATTTTGGGTTGTTGTTGTTGTTGTTGTTGTGATGCTAAACAGATAAAACAAGTCTTGAGAAATTAAGATCTGATGTCTTATCGATTGCTAAGTGTGGATAAAGAGGAACCTGGTTTGAAGGAACGTAACTACTTGGGTCTGTCTGATTGTTCCTCTGTTGATAGCTCAACTATTCCCAATGTTGAGAAGAGCAATCTCAATTTCAAAGCTACTGAACTGAGGCTAGGTCTTCCTGAGTCGCAATCTCCTGAGAGAGAGACTGATTTCGGTTTGCTGAGTCCGAGAACACTCGATGAGAAACTTCTCTTCCCGTTGCTACCTTGTAAAGACAATGCTTCTGCTACTACAGGGCACAAGAATGTTGTTTCTGGTAACAAGAGAGGATTTGCTGATACTTGGGACGAGTTTTCGGGTGTGAAAGGATCTGTTAGACCTGGAGGAATCAACATGATGTTGTCGCCGAAAGTTAAGGATGTCCCGAAGAGTATTCAAGAAGAAAGATCCCATGCTAAGGGTGGTGGCTTGAACAATGCACCAGCTGCCAAGTGTGTATTACATGATAACCTGTTTATGAGTTTTATGGTTTGTTTGTGACGAAAGACCGAATCTTGTGGTAATCTATCTATTGTTTGCAGGGCACAGGTTGTTGGTTGGCCTCCAATCAGATCATACCGGAAGAATACAATGGCTTCTTCTACTTCGAAGAACACTGATGAGGTTGATGGGAAACCAGGTCTTGGTGCTCTGTTTGTGAAAGTGAGCATGGATGGTGCTCCATATCTGAGAAAGGTCGACTTGAGAACTTACACTTCCTATCAACAGTTGTCTTCTGCGCTTGAGAAAATGTTCAGCTGCTTCACTCTTGGTGAGAATTTTCTATGTATTAAGCAAATCCTTGATTCCGTTGTAAAAAGAATGAACAAAAAAACAGTGATTTCGCGTCTTGTTTGTGATCTCAGGTCAATATGGACTTCATGGAGCTCAAGGGAGGGAAAGAATGAGCGAGATCAAACTGAAGGATCTTCTTCATGGATCAGAATTCGTGCTTACTTATGAAGACAAAGACGGTGATTGGATGCTCGTTGGAGATGTCCCGTGGGAGTAAGCTTCTCTTAAACTCAACTTTAGTAACTTTGCGGGTTTTATGAGTTGTGCTTCCCGGTAAACTTCCGAATAGCATCAGATCTTTAACCTTGATTCATGCTACATAAAATTTCCATCTTTTGGTTTTGTATCCGCTCAAAGTTGAATCCTTGTTAAAACCTATTTGCAGGATATTTACTGAAACATGCCAGAAACTGAAGATCATGAAGGGCTCTGATTCTATTGGATTAGGTAAGCCATTTACTTTGCCAACATCTCTCCGCTGAATCTGCATTCAAACTCAATGGCTCATTTCATTGCTGATTTACTTTGTGGCAGCTCCAGGTGCAGTGGAGAAATCGAAGAACAAAGAGCGGGTTTGAAACAAAGAGGCTCAAGACAAAACACTATGCACAGTTCCTATGTTAAAGTCTTCTTTTACTGATGTTTGAAAACTCTTTAGTCTTTTTACTAATTTGTGTTGTTAAGACTTTGGATTCTCTTATTTATGTGTGCTTGTTCAGAACAAATACATTCTTCTTATGTGTGTTTCCTTCTTTGATCTTCAAGACTTTTTCTCCATAGATGACCAACTTTTGCTCTCTCTAATTATAAGCAAAACTTTGATTTGTTTATTGTGTTAGTACAAAAGTCTCTTAAGTGATAATTAGGATAAAAGTTGGTTATTGATGGGTAATCCTGTATATAAAGAGACTTTAACCACACAAAGTGGAGTCTCAAATGATGGTTCTTTATCTGTAAAACAAGAAAGTGGGTAAATCTGGATTAGCTTTAGACTAATCCCAATAATATCTTCTATAACATTCTTACAAGAGTTGATTAAATATTAGGAAAAAAAAAAGAATATGTAACTAAATATCTAGTTTTACCCATACCATTTTATCCAAAGTTTCAAAGTTTATCCATACCATTTTCTTTTATAGCAAAGTTTCATAAACTGGAACCAAGATTTATTTTTGTATTTGCAATTTATGTGTTTTATTTTTCTGATAAATCGATATGATTCGATCTACATGATATACAATACATGTATTGCTACAAGATATATATAGTTCTCACTTTATATGAAGTTAAAATTTGTTCCAAAGTGTTACTATTCATATTATAATCCCTCCCCCACACCTAAAGAGAGAATAATATATATATTTTTTGTGATATTTCGACATCAGTTGTCAAATTAGTCTTATCAAATGGGACAAAGTGGTTTGCACAAATGTAGCACTTCTAAGTGAGTTTGTGGTTAGTGCACTTGATCATTGACTTTATTTTCTAATTTTGATTGTTTTGCTATTCGTAAGAACAGTTATATCAATTACAGGGTTATATGTCTTGTTAATGCTTTTCTTTTATGTGAACCACTTATTTCTTTTTCATTAATCAAACTAATTTAGAGAAGCTTATGATATTTGACTTTGGTTGTAATACTAGAGTGACAATCGAAAATCATCATCATCTGTAGATAAACTAGACATATTTTTTTGTAGTTTTTATTAGTTGTGTTTGTATCATTATCCAAATTAAAACGGGTACAATACAAGTAGTTAATAAAAAAATATATATACTTGATTTCATAATTTTAGACGTCTCATATTTTTATACAATGTTTATGTGTTTAGAAAATTTTATTTTCTTCTCCCTCGGATTACTCTGTAGAAAAATCTATTATTTTCTTACTCAGATTCTTATGATTTGTTCTCAGTTGCACAGTTATCTCTACACAAACAGGTAATGTTGAATTTGTATGGCTGGATTATTCAGATGCTACTACTTTTCATGGAGAACAAAGAAAATCAATCTT